CCGCTCCCTGGGTTCATATTGCAAACACTGAGAGGCAATGCCAACAACCACAGTTGCCTCGTCTGTCGAAAATTTTCCCTCTAAATGTGAATCCATGAGGAGAATGATGTTTTTATCTTGTATCATATCAAGTGCCTGCAAACATGCACTGCCATCAATTTGAATTGTATGTTACCATTGACAACCAAAGTAAGAGCCCATAAGATAACAGACTATGATTTGCAGAATTTCGAAAAAAGAAAGAAAACTTACATAATACTATATATGCAACCTTTCTACCTTACTATAAGTCACTTTTATCCACTTACATGACTAGGAGGGATGTGCTTCCCACTTATCACATCAAGAAGAACAGTGCCAAAGCTGTAAATAACGCTTTCAGGGGTGACTCTCCCTACAATTCACCAAATTGTTGCAGATAGCAGAAGGCATAAGTTCGACAAATTCGACGAAAAGAGTCGTGCAATTTGAAAAGAGAAAACACTTCCCACACATCATGTAACATTATAAAATGCCACAAAACAACACAATGACAGATAAACAGCTAATCATACATCCAGCAGATGATTTTATACATGAACATAGTAAAGATCAGAACAGCTAACCATACATCGTGCAAGCAATTGATGCAAACCGATGGATTGGAGATAAACCAATTAACATGATTAAGGACCAAAGTATATCCAGAGATGAGTAACAGGTAAATCTCTTTGCATTTCGACAATAAGACGAAGGATGAATGAGTATTACAGGACAGAAAACATTAACTATCAGAACTAAATCAAATAGAAAAGGAAATACCATTTCTGAGATATTCCGGTGGTGTGTAGGCAAGATTAGTACTATAACTTTTCCCATCACTGCTATTTTTCATCAGGGGAAACATGATAGACGTGGATCACCATCCTAAAATATCCATTAGAAAGATATCAATTACTAGCTTAATGATAGTTAATTTTAGAGGAAGAGGAGGAAAAGAGACCAATACCTCATCAAAAATAACCCTGTAAGCATTTAGATCATGATACAATGGGTGGCCCTCATTACTACAATAATCTAAAGCCTCAGCAATGCAGAAAGCTACTCTTAATCGCATTGCCCACTCAATGGTTTGATTTTCCCCTGCACAATGTGAACATAGACCCAAGGTTAGTCTGAGAAAATCAGAAATGTCCAGAAACACATTCAAATTCCAATCTAAAAGCATTCAACAAAAAACATGAAACAAAGAATTTTACCCTTTATACCACAATAAGAAAAATCTACCTGTAAATAGCCTATGAGTTCAGCATGGACTAAAGGAACTCAATAAATTAGCAAGAAACTGAAACAAGAATAACTGCAAAGGAAGCAAAGGCTAAGCCAGTGTTACACCAGGCAATTTCTAGGCAACAACAAGCAAGACCTAAACAAATTCAACCCTGCTAAAACTTCTTAAAACATGAACAAAAATGAAAAGTATTTCAAGGTAAAAGAGAATGAGAACTGACAATGAAACAAATGCTTAGCGAGAGTATCATTTATCATGTACTCAGCAATAAGCAACCTTTCATCTCCGTTACAGCAATATCCTATCAAATTTGCCAACCTCTTGTGTCTCAACTTCCCTACTCCCCAAGCTTCCTCCTGACCAAACCCACAAAAACCCACTTCAAATAACAAACAAGAAACCCACAGCAAAAACATGAAACCGAAAATAATGATGTAATAATACCACAAACTGTTTGGAGTCAGACCAAGCCATCTTAGTGAACTTCTTAACAGCAATCCATTTCATGTTTTTCAAACGACCTTTATAAACAAGGTTAGGAGCCTTTTCCCCACCCTCAGAAACTATGTTATCTGAACTGAAATTATCGGTGGCTGCTTTGAGGTCAGCCAAGGAGAACTCTGAGAAAGAAGGGACTCCATTTGCAACAACAGGGACGACGGGTACAACACCCGGACCTGATTGGTTATGGTTCCGATTCTCTTGTTGCTGATGTTGAGTCTGGTCTTTCTCTGGGTGAGTCTCTTCTCGAAAAGAAGATTCACAACAACCCATAATTCAGTTTTCTTGAAGCTTTCTTCTACTTTTTTCACAACAAAAATGAAAGACGCAGGGTTTTTGGTTTTCACAGAAAAAAATGGGTATAGAAAGAGTGAAATTTGTTTGAGTTTTCTGTCTTTGTAAAAGCAGTTTGGTTCCTCGTTTAATTGGTCGAGTTGTTTATGTTTTACTGCATTTTTTCTTGTTTTAGGGACTGCTGCACCGCTAAATCTTTTGCAGTTATAAAGGAGTTCATCATTTCCAACTTTTAAGACAGTGATATTTATAGTTGTCGTCGTCTACAACCCCTGGGAAATTACCCGGTTGCTTATAAAAGTTAAATGATAATCCAATCATAAAAGTTGATAAATTCAAGGCACATATTATATTAGGGATAAATTATATTAAATTTCATTGAACTTTAGATTGTATATTATTTATATAACTAAACTTTTAATTTTTCCAGTGATTTTTAATTTTTGACTTTAGTTATATTATTAAAATGTTAAATTTTAATGACACGATGATATGAATATATTTTTTTTATTATTTATGATGACATGGAGAAAATAATATTGTTATGATGATGACTATTGATGTTAAAACGATGTCATTTTAGATACTTTAAGAATGTATCAATTTTATAACTAAAACTAATCTTTTAAACTATTTATATTTTGACATTGTATTTTTTTACAGTTGTCGGCAACCAATCATTGTTCATCATACATCTTTCACTACAAGATCGATAACAAAATGTTTGTATTTTACTCATCTTTCTTCTAATAGGATTGATTATACATGCTAATACATTGATCTCTTTTGATAACTGTCCGATGAAGTTATTTTTTAGATATGTTGTTCTTCTCAAAATAATATTTTATACCGTTCAAATTTTCAAACAAACATCTCAAATCCCTCGAATCTAAAAAAGCCCCTAAACCCCTAAAAATAGTAAATTTTTTATTAATTTCATTGATTTTGAGAAGATTCTGTGAAAATCAATCCTAGGAGAAGAAAAAAAGAGTAAAATGCCAACATTTTAGCACAATCTTTACTGTGAAAGATGATTGATGGCGAGCGATGAATTGGCAATCGGAGGTGGTAAAAAATGTGCAGTGGCAAAAAAAATGAATTGTTCGAAAGGTTAGTAACAAAATTGATACAATCCTAAAGTTAAGTACCTAAAAGGCTAAAACGATGTCATTTTAAGCATAAAATAACCGCATCAAAACGATGTCGTTTTGTCATTGTCATCACACCATTTTATTTGGCTAAAACGATGTCATTTTAGGCATAAATAACCGCACCAAAATGATGTTGTTTTGTCATTGTCGTCACACCATTTTATTTTCAATAGTCCAATAATATAATTGAAGTTAAAATCAAAATTTAATATTGTAATAAGTGAAATTATAAGTTTAATAACATCACCTAAATTTAGTTATATTTGGTGTAATTTATCCTAATATTAGTTCTAGTTCATTTTTCTATTTGTTCATTGAACAAGTAACATTTTATATGGTTGAGATTTATTTGGATTTAAAAGTCAACAAATTAGTCTCTTTTTACTGCTAAACTTGCCTTTCAATATTGTCCTATATCTTTATCATAAAAACCTCATTTAATTGGTCACTTCATTACTGTACAAATATTCTTTTTTATATACTTAATGTATTATTTTGATTAAATAGAAAATACATATTAACATTTTCATTGTTTTTAGGTACTTCTATGTGTCATTGTTTGGTTTAAGTTAACTTTAATGAGAACACAAGAACAGATTTCAGCATAAAAAAAAAAAAGGGGAAAAATCATCTATTCTCTAGTTAAATGACAGAGTAGTTATTCTTCTAAAAATTTCAAATTCTCATATATTTTAGATATTTTATTTTAATTTTTTTATTAATAATATATTTGTGTCTCTTAAAATTTTATAAATTTATTTCTCTAATATAAAATCTTGCGTCCATCTCGATAAAAAAATGCCGGAGCATGTCAACTTCTTTAATCAAGAACATAAAATAAATGATTTTTTTTTTACTTTTAACAATGGGTACTCGTGGAAAAATTAAGAGTAAGAAAGAAGAATCCATTAGTTGTTAAGCAAGTAACCATTTCAGAAAGTCGTAACACATTCCAATGTTTGTCCATTTATGGTCACCATTGCCTTTCTATATACCCTATCGCAGCGACGGATGTATATGTTTTTCAGTGTATGTATTTATCTTAAAATGTTTTTTTTTTATTTTTGTTGTCAATTTATGGACGATACCTTTCTTAAAATCTTATTTATGTTCGTTTCATATGACATTTTTTGTTATTAATATAAATATACTTATTTCAAAAATATTTCTAGATCTAACAACATATGATGTTGTGTTTTGTTTAAACAAGAATCGCCAAATTTTCAATAAAAATTTAGAAGGTTTTTGTTAAGGAATATGCAATATCTTAATTTATCAAGGGATTCTAAGGATTTGTTTTATATGTTATATCCAACAACAATAATAAAATCAGAGTGGTATTATCCATTATTATGACACCAATTTAGATCAAAATTATTTATTAAGTAAATTTTGGTAAATATATTTTATTATGACAACACGACTCCTAACATTTGATTAATAATCACTTTAACCCCTATTCTTTTTTCCTCAAGTATTTTGATCCTTAGTGTTTTATTTTAGGGTAAAAGGCTCATACTTTGTAACATTAACCATTTGTTAAATAACAGTTTCATCCATAAAGAGTCTACCAAAATAAAACGTTTTGATTTGGGACAAAATGCTCCAAAATATGAATGAGTCAAAACAACCATTTTAATAAAGATTAGAGGTTAATTTTGACATATTGCATAAAATCTAATATCAACCAGTGTAAATAAGTTACAATTTATCTCAAATTTGTAATAATTATTTTCATATATAATTTTAATTAACCTTATTCTTTTTAGTTATACTGGCGTAAATAAAATGTAATTTATATCAAATTTGTAATAATTATTTTCATATATAATTTTAATTAACCGATGCTTACTCCGATGGTTTGGCCACAATGGCTGCATTTTGTTTGCAGAAGCATGCCCCATTTTGTTCAATGAAAAGGAGACGCATTTTGAACACCTTCAATAGACATCACGTTTCACTACCTCCAAATGCAAAATCAATGTCCTGAGCTCTCGGCAAGATTCGATAGTTGCCGGATCAAAAGCTTTGCAATCCACAACACCAACTAGCCCCTCTCGATGTTCTTCAGTTATGCATCATAAGCCTGTCCATATTCTTGTAAGGCAACCATGAATCATCTAACATTCCCCTTACCATCTCATTCATAATCAGGTCTTCCCTGACAGAAGAGCAACTGACCAAGTTGTGCGTTGCAGGACCCACGGAACCACCACCGAGCTTCATTTCTCAGACGGCAATAGACTGCCTACACCAGATCATCAATCCAAATAGTGCCATAATCATTTTATTTCATAGTCCTATGATACTCTCTCATGCTCTTGCCCAATCCTTTCTTTAACGCGCTGCAAAAGCTCATCATAGGCTCTGGAGGACTCAGAACTGAACTTTTCCATTGCCTCAAAAATGTGTTGCAAGCTCCCCTGCAAACTATGGTTACTAGTCTCACTCTGATGCACAACATTTCCAGCTACTGAGAGATTATTACCATCTCCAGAGACCAAAACAATCTTCTCTAATGCTTGGATCCCTTTCTGCAACTTCTGATCCTCTCTATCCAGACTCCTTGCCTTTCTCTCTAAATCCTTATTGGACATCATCCACCGATGCATTTCCGACTTATCTTGTTCCCATAGCTGGAGCACACTCGTGGCCAAAACCCACATAGAATCGATCACCTCTCGTTCAGATATCCTATCCATTGCTTGTGACCACTGATTACATATTACAAATATGGGTGGTGCACCAACCCTGCTAGGTGAGAAGGGAGCTATTCCATCATCGGTCACTTCAGGTTCATAGTTAAGACATTTTAGAAGCCAGTTATTCAAACCCCTCACATAACCCTTCTGGGCACTTATCCAACTTGAGAATCTTATAGTCCAGCTAATAAGTTCATGCTCAAGCTGCAGTGTGGCCTTAAGATGATCATCACTGAGCTTTTTGCGAGACCCTACTAAACCTAAAGTTTTGGCCTCTCTGATCATCTGGCACTGACTACGATGACATTCAAGCATTGATTTCCACATTCTGTTTAACCTGGAAAAAGAATATTACAAGGAAACAGTAAGACTAACAAAAATAATAATAACTATTACTATAATTATTTAAAAAGAAATTGTAAATAATGAATACATATGCCTTTGGAGTGTCAAAAGATCGGTTAATTCAATAAATCAATGATATGAAAATCATGACAATTGAAAAACATATCAAATTAGCGATGCAGATAAAAAAGCACATGAGAGATTCAACTGGAAAAGAAATTTGACACCCAGATTTTACTTATGTGAACATGATCTCAAACAAAATTGTATTTCTTTATTTGAGATAGTCTCACACATCAATTTATTTGATATACTATCGGAAGGTGCATTATAAATGATTTGCATGAAGAGTCGCTGTCAAACTCACTCCCCGTAATACTAAATACACACACCAGATACATAGGTTTCTGAATCTTGTTAAGAATATTTAATTATTAACTAGATTTATGTATTAGAAATAGTTGCATGATATACGGGACGAAAAAGGTGCCCCACAAAAAACCGTTTCAGTAGAATCCTCCCCCCAACTACTAAAAGGTAATTTGTATACTTAATCAGTATCTATTTTGCATCTTTGGTTAATAAAGCGCCGTTTGGCACAGACAACTCACAACTTCTAATAAGATTTCAGTGATATATGATCTCAAGAACTAATCCTGAAACTCAAATGTATAATTTTCCCATCCTAGTGACTCAACATTTTAGGCCAAATCCACAAAATTCTTTGATGCCAATGATTCAAGAATGAATAGGAAAGAATGATCTAACAGCATCTATCCTAATAAGAAGTGATTGTAGAAGAATCTTTCATCTGGGGGCGGATTAGCTAAAACCTTTCTTTTCCATTGTTTGACCCCAAATACCCTTTAGAGACATCTCAGACCTGCATGACATTCACTTCTCAGCACTAGCGAGGACAAGAGATCCATTAAACTAGTAAAAAAGCTAAAGCAATACTATTATCTAACCGACATAGACAGCATTAAATAATCTGATTAATCAAATAAACACATCAAATGGAAATATTCTGACCCTTCAATCAGTTCATTTAGCAATGGCCATAATTCCTCATCCCTGATCTTATTAATTGTCACAGATATCTTGTCAACAACTTGAATTGCTATTCTTATCTTTGTGGACAGGCTCCTGATTGAATTACGGGTTGAATCAATTTTGCTAGCTTCCGCACCCCTTTGATCTAATCTTTTTAAATTGTCGGATTTCTTGTCGTAAGCTACCCGCATCTTCTCCTCAGCCTGCATTGCATCAAAATATTCAACTTAAAAAGGATCACAATGGTTAGATAACTACTAAAATAAGATGCCCTCTGAACCCAGGGTATAACCAAGCCATAGTAATTCCATTTCCACCAGAAACCACGTTAAGATGATGACAAGGTATTCCTAAAATGGTACAGGAACATCATTTGAATGTATGTAAACCACTATTACACTATTCATGAAAAAGCAAATAACATGAAGCCCTTCAAAGGTGAATATCTCAAAGCAGCAACTTTCATAGAAACAGTTCCTTAATGAGATGGAAATCAAATTAGAGTAAAACACAGGGAGGTATGATTACAGAAAATGGAACATAATCTAGAATCACACACCGAACTGAAAATGAATCGAATGTAAAATCTCTACTTTTAGCCATGAATGATGATCATTTAGACCATACAGCATATTGAGATAATAGTCAAACTAAAATTGCAAAGACCAAATGAGTAAAGGCACGTACAGAAACAGATAACAAGTTCAACAAGCAATACATGATCAACACACCATATACCTTTACTTCATTGTAGAGCTTCTTTTCCCAAAGATATAACTTGTGTAAAGTAGACGAAAGGTTTTTCGGTTTGCTCGCCAGTTTTTCATTGAAGTCTAAAAATGTTGGATCAGTGTTGTCAGCCGAGGAAGAAGATTCACCAGTCTTCGAAGTAGATGGCTTAGATGTTACTACAGATAATGAAGGAGTAACTACATGCAATATCTTGGAAACTGTTTCACAAAGATCCCAAAACCCACCGTTAGTACTACTGTTGCAGAAAACTTTTTCTATTTTAAATAAATCTATTCTAATGAAGCTGCAAGTCAAAACCCCATGATTTTAGCAAAAATCAGTACTTGTCAAATCACAGATTTTGTATAACACAAGTGAAAGAATGAAATTTCATACCATGTTTGGGCTTGTAAGGAAGTGTTCCCACCTCAAGCAACTTAGCAAGTTCATTCCCAGACTCCGAAGCTCTCATAAACTGGACCTGTATCTCTCTAATAACCTCAAAAACATCCCTTGGAGTGCCCCTTGACCCGGTGCCACGCTCCTCGGCCCTTTCATCATCCACCGCTTTCTTCACCACCACATGAACTTCATTTTCCACCCTATCATTTTCAATCCCAACACTGGGCCTCGCCTGATAAAGCGAAGCCTCTGTTTCACTAGTCGTAACTTTCCCATCCTCTTCTTCAACTGGGGAATTGGAATAACCACCGCTGTCAACAAATTTCTGATCCCCGTCCACTTCTTTAACTACTTCATGTTGAAAATCCTCATCTTCCAAATCAGGGATCCCTTCCTCTTCTCTAACCTCCTTTGAATCCCTACTCGGCGTATACGGAGGATAATAGTTTTCAAAACTCTCGAAAGGGTTCAGGAAATCCCAAGCTGAAGCTCTCGGAGGTGAAGGTGGAGGCGGTGGTGGTTTCGAGTACGACTCAACAGCCGTTGACGACGGTTGCAGCGAAGACCCATAACCAGACGCCGAATAAGAAGAATAATTACTAAAACCACCGTAATTTGGGTAACCCGAATAAAGGTATGAACCAGAGTTGGGATTAAAATTACTTGCATAAGAGTAAGGATAATAAGGAGAAGATGAAGATTCACCCATATAAACCGTCTCTGGATTCATAGGCCTTTGTTCATAAACAATGGACGGCGTTGGTTGCTTCTTCATAAAATTGGTATGCATAGACCCACCGGGAAAAGGCCCAGATTCAAAAGGCCCATAATTGGGATAATTTTGGTTCATATACTCTATATGACCCACACCATCGTCGTGCAAAGGCGAAGAATGGTGCAAAGAGCCGCCGGAATCATCTTCATCTGAATCGGAAAGGAAGTGAAGATGAGACCCAGAATTTGAATGGGAATGGTGATGGGAAACATCACCTTTTTTGGGTGGACTTGACCCGATTTCAATTGGATCCACCTCTTTATTTTTAAGTTTATTAGGCGACAGAGGAGAAGGCGGTAACGCCGCCCCTGAAGAAGTCCCAAAATCATGCTCGATGAAGTTATTCAAAGACTGACCAAATAACTTCAAAGACGCTGTGTAAGCGAGATGAGCTTCGGCTAAAGCAAAACGTTGTTGAATGGCTTCTTCTAAAAAAGTACACCTTTCCCGACAAAGAGCAACTGCCGGAAGATCATCTAACTTTGAACTAGAACATCCCATAATAACTCCCCCCCAAAAAGCGACAAGGATTAGTATCTGGTTTTTATACGAAGGAAATAGCAAACATGATAATAGGGATTCTTTCTGGAGAGAAAGAAGGAATCTTGGCCAGCACGGAGTGTATCGTCGTGTTGTAGCAGAAAGAGGAAGAAAAAAAAAAAAAAAGAAAGATAAACAACTCTTCTCAAACACCAACAGTAACCGTGCTTTTCTTTGCTTTGGATTAAACCCTCTGTTTCTAGTTAATAATATTTCAATAAATTTACTTGGTTGTTTTTACTTTCTTGCAAAACTCTTGTTTATAAACGAAGAAGAAGAAGAAAGAAAGGGTTGATTTTTATTTCTGAGGGATTTGAGAAATGTTGAGAGGGGGGAAAATAAAACACAAAAAGTGAGAAAGGTTTGGTTTGACAGAAACTTCGACGCCTTATACCCCTTTGAAATCATGACGTTAGTTTCTTTATTAGTCTTCTTTTAGTCTCCCATGAACCCTTCTCTTTATTATCAATTTTTATAAATACTAATACGTGGATTAAAAATATATCATTTATATAACAAATTATTATAAAGAGAAAGGAGACAATATATTCCATCCATCTCATTATTTTTATTATTATTGATTAAGCACATAATTTTAATAAATTAATTTAATACATATCAAATTATGTAAACCGAAGTAAATGATAAAATTACACTAAAAATGGCAAATTTTTTTGATAAAGTGATGGAAAAAGAATTCTATTTAGGAAATCAGTAGAATTATTTTTTGATATAGGACAATCGTTATGTTACATGTTAGAGTTGTTTAAATGATATGATATCTTTGGTAAGATGTCTGGATGACAGAGCGTTTTTAATCAAAATGTAATGTTACAAACTTTTACTCATGCATGTAATTACGAGAAAGACGTATGGATGACAGAGTATTTTTAATCAAAATGTAATGTTACAAACTTTTACTCATGCATGTAATTACGAGAATGATGTCGTATGGTTCAAACGATCTTCGACTATAATAATCACACTATTTGAGAAAAGAGTTTTACCCACACTCAAGATTAAAAAAATCCCAGCATAATATCAGGGTAATTTTACCCTTAAAATGCGATTAATGATTAGATTTATTTTGATGGGATAATATGATAAATGGTTAAAAAGAAAATATAAGTTTTATTATTTGTTGACTTTTCTAATATGAATTTTAAATGAGATAATCTCAAAATTTAAAATGGACAATTTTAGTGAGACGAGAGGGTATAGATTTATTAGACTCATCTAATTTTTATTTCTTAAAATAATTATATAATGGTGTTATTTTTGTTAAAAAATATTAATCTATAGTAGGAACTTAAATAAAAATTTTATAATAAATAGAAATGTTCCTTTCTTGAAAATTACAAGGAAACTTTGTTTTTAAACTCTAACTATCTAATTGAGAATCCTTAAAATGTATATATCCCAATATAGTCGAGAAATCGTACTCAATTTGAACTTTTCTTTTCCTTGCAGATGCAACATTTGAAAAACAACTCGTTCAAACAATTGACCATCAGTGGTAAGCATTTGGGAAAGTTCAACGAAGTTTCTAACTTGATTTTGTATCTAAGAAATCTTAGGTTAAGATTGTAATTTTGTAGACGGATTAAACTATTTAGTCATTTCTTTTAAACTTATTAAATAATACAGGCTCATCATTAAATAATGAGAATAGAACTGTACAATACTATTATAAAAAAATATCTTTCAAAGAACTCGAAAATTAAAAGATAAGAATAAACCTCATTATCGAGATGAAGGATAAACATCATCGGCAGTAATTCAAATTAGGATAAAACAACATGATATTCAGATAAAAACTAATTGAAAAAATGACGCCAAATTTAATATTTAAATAGAACAAAAAAAACGTGGTACAAAAGTAAAAGAAATAAAAAAAATCATATATTATTTTTATTAGAAAACGATAAGACTTATTAAACAAAATAACACAATACAAATATGTAAAAACTAAAAGATGGGAAGAAAAAATGAGGTGAAGATGGAGAAGAACACAAGAATTATAATAGAACATAGGTAACAGTTGCTTGATCAAAGGTCAATTTTACTATCTTTTTAACAGCTGAAGATTAAAAAAATCATCTGGTCGTCGTGTTTGCTCAGTGGAGCGAAAAAAGTTCCATGTGTCAAAGTCTTAATATGCGGTCAAAGAAATGTATTATCGGTTTTGTTATTATTTTTTAACAAAATCGGTAAAAATTTATCATAAACATTATTATTTCTACCGGTTTTATTAACATATCGGGTAAAGCGCTACCTAAAATATTATTTTTTTTCTACCGATTTTATTATTATTGGGTACTTTACAGGAAATGTTAAAAAATATTAATGTAAGGTAGAAATAATAATGTTTTATGTACTTTTTTACTTATTTTGTTAAAAAAATAATAATAAAACCGATATCGCATTTCTTTAATCACATATTAAGGCTGTCGCACGATAAAATTTCTTAATGGAGCGCTCTCTCTCCTTCTAATGAACTTTTTCCTCCTCGAAAACATCTCTTTTATACTATAATCGTATTTCAACAATTCCTAAAACCATTATCGCCTAGCTATTCGGCTTTCTTCGTCACTGTATAAATGTATTGGTAGAATTAAATCGTAATAAATATAAAAATTAATCAGGATTTAATTATCTTAAATCATCAAAAATAAAATAAATTAGATTTGCGAAAGCATAATTGAATCGATAATTGAAGATCATCCAGTAAGTTGAAATCTTGAAAATGAAATTGGTTGTGAATTCTTTTAAGTATAAACTCTTTGACGAAAATAAAAGAAAATACGACATGATTTATTTCTTGGAGACACCCCTTTATATAGTTGATTTAAGACTCAGTTATTGTTTGTATTTATAACTTTGTCCCTCATCGAATTATAAATACAACTTTAATAGTGTCTACACTTTTATTTTCATGACAATTTAAATACCTTATGACTTTATAATATAATTGATTACTTAATTTATATCATATTTTATAATAACAATATATATTAAAATTTTATGTCCATAATTATGAATTTTAATCTAACATGTCTCTCTCGTAATTCCAGTCATTTCAAATCGATAACCTTTCTTTGATATAATTTTTTCGTTTGATTTTGTGAAAGTATTAAAAAGGAAAAGAAACATCTTTCATAGTTTGTTGAACCATCATCGTGATGGTGTTGTTTGGTGGTCATTTCTGTTATCGACGTCCAATGGAAATTCAATCCTCGGTGAGAAGGCTTTCGAATGGAAAAAATAAAAAAAATAAATTTAAATTTAAAATATAATAACATTGTATAATATTAATAATAGAAACATAAAATAAAATCAAATAAAGAGTTAGTAAATAGATTAAATAATAATGATAAAATGAACTGATTTGTGTTATTTTTATTTCATGATAATACGATGTCGGGAAGAAAGTTGATAAATTATGTTAATTTTAGACGATAACGTCTACTTTTAAAATTACACTAATTTAAACTATATTGTTTTTAAAGAAATGACTATATGATACAATAATTTTATTGTGTTATCTTTTATTTATTTTATTTTTTGTGCTAATTAATACAAAGGTCTTTACTGTAACACACTCAGATCGATGCAGATGACCCGATACGAGGTGTCACATTAGGGCCACCGGAGTGACCCACAATAAAATCTAAGAAAAGTTAAAATTTATGTTAAAACGCATCATAAAATAATTTATAATTAAAATACAAGTTTCAAACTCGGTATATAAAAAAAATCAAATATAACCTACATGTCCCCTAATTAACTTGCACTGTACTCTGCAAGTAATGTCAGTGAAACTCCTATACTGATATCGATAGCTGCACTGGTTCAATTCTTTTAACCTGAAATGATGGGTAAAAGAGTGAGTTTTGGGAAACTCAGTAATACAAAACTACCAAGTGATGGTAAAGGATATTTCTTCAAGTAAAAGACATGAATATTTCAGTTCAGAGAAAACATTCAAAAAACCAAATTCAGGATATCAGAATAAGATGTCTAGTGTGTTCCAACGAAAATCAGTGAAAAGACATATATCTTTTTAAAACACAAACAATTTAAAACATATTTTTAAAACCATAGTAAAACCCTCCAAACGAACACTTTTATGCAGTTCCCCAGAACTGCATCCATAAGGACTTACCCTAAGCACACAGCAAAAAAGCCACCTTAAAGGAGTATCTTGGGGCCTATGGGCATACCCAAGGGTCTCCTTAGGTCCGTAAGGAATCACCAGCTTGATCAGAGTTGAACCTTCATACTCTAGAATCATACCCATACAATATCCAGTAGAAATCAGATTTAACAATAAACTATAATATCAGGATTGTGCTCCAGTAAAATATCGTAAGAGTGACAATGAAATAAACCACATAACTGCCCTCCACCCGCACACCATATGCAGTCTCATGATTTACCCAAGGGAGTACCTTGGGCCTTAAAGCCTACCCAAGGTCACCTTAGGTCCGTAAGGAATTACCAGCTTGATCAGAGTTGAACCTACATACACCAGCCTACCCAGATAATGTCCCAATAAAGCAGTTCAAGTAGTAACTAGTAAATCCCATGATCTATAAATCGGGAACGATTATATTTTCCATTGAAAACATGAGATCAAAGAACACATATCATGTAGTCGTAGTTCATTAACAGTAAATCAAAACATCAATAAATTCGTAATTTCATAAAATCACGTTTTAAAACAAGTAAAACATTTACAATGAACACACTAGAGGTCCAGTATTTCTTCGGAGGTATTTGTATTTATCAAGTAAGGAACCATGAACTTTTGTAAATTGATAGAATTTCAGAATTAAAATCCCTATAAAAGGAGGTTTGATAGCTAACAAATTCATCAGTCATTCGAAAAGTGATTTATCATGATAATGTATTATTCGGATATTTTTCAAAGGCACTAAGTAATTAGGAATGTATTCAAAATCTTTTGTATCAGACTTACTTGAGACCATTATTCAGTAAATCAGGAGCATTTTGGACATTTGGTTCTTGGATAATTCTTAGTAATTTAATCTAACAAGAATGAAATGATGATTCATGGTATTTAGGATTCGTGTCGATTTATCAGGATATCAAGTTAACTCAAACTGAACAAATTACAGCACTGTGATACCTATCATCCAGTCATACCGACGCACTTCAAAGATATTCACTC